AGGGGACCAAACTAGTCCAGCCACCTTCCATGCCTCACAGGGAGAAGGACATAGCAGGTCTGTGACATAGCCCGAACCTTTATTCCCCCAGAGATGTTCAAATAAATAACAAAACACAAATAAACACAAAAACCAAGGATCCACATTTAAAACTGGTACCAATTCTAAAACAGGACAAGACAACACAAGAACCAAAGGCTGAGTTGGGCACTAATGGGCCTCCCGGCTCATCCCTACCAGAACTCTGTGCTGCTCCTACTCAGCAGGCTGAATCCAGAGTCTGCTCAATGAGCCTGCCACTCTCACCCAGAACTTCCCTACCTCAAAAAACAGAACAGAAAACACACCGAAGTCAGACAAGTGGCCACAAAGACAAAATCAGGTCTCAGTGAATGGGAAGACATCTCACCACCATTCACAAGTAGGACTCAAATCCACTTACCAGGGGACTCGAACCCCCTCTACTCACCTCCGGAGGATTTTTCTTTTAGATTCCTGCAAACGTTGACCCAGGGGCCTTCCAAGGCTGAGGAGAATTCCCAGTCATCTTGGAGCAAGGGAAAGAAGTCCCTAGCAGCCATCCCCTCAGACTGGCAGGTTCTCCCCCATACTCAGACCTCCTGGGCCAAGGCCTAAGGCTAAGATCTTGCTGGGGCCACTTGCAGGTGGTCAGTGGCAGTTTCATAATTGACAAAGAAGCAAGTTACAAAAGCAGAACTAGCAGGGTTTTTTGTTTGTTGTTTTGAAATCTTTAAAATGAAGTAGGACAAGGTCTAGGAGTGCCCCGGGAGTGGACTCACTTTGTCTCATATTTTTCCTGTAAAGTAAATCCAATTACAAATATGGCAAGCAAAAGCACAAGCACAGTGAGATACAGATAAACATGATTACACACAGAATGAGGAAGGATACCAAAACGAAAAGTTACTTTTTCTCTCAACCTATTTTCTTCACAAGCAAGCCCCCATCCAACTAGGACTGCTAGGACTGGTGGAATTGAGTGGTCCAGGCGTCCCTGGACCTCCTCGACCATAGGGGACTCTGCTGCGTCCAGCTTCACCCTACTTTTGGCCTCACTCTGGGGCCTTCTTTACCTAGGTTGACCGCACTTACCTCGAAGCTTTTCTCAGAACTTCTCTCCAATAACACACTGTCCTCCCAGCCGGGGATTCAATCCCCCTCAGGTTGGAGCAGCTAAAAGCTCTACCCAAGACGAGCCCCCATTAAATGTAGTAGGAAGACCCCTGCTCAAGCAGGCAAGCCCACCTACTCGTCCGGAGTGACAGAGCCCACCACAACAAAGTTGTTAACAAAGAAGCAACTTTATTGAGAAGGTTCCTACACTGACTAGTAAGGGCCGCAGCACAGGCTCGGGAACTGATACTGTGACCCCAAATGGCCCCCATTCTTTGGTTTTTAAAGGCAAAATCCATGAGGTCGAGCCTGGTCACGCACAGGTGACCAATGGGATCATAACACATACAAAGGATTGTACAGTCATACCAGACCACACACAGGTGGCCAATAGGCAGAGTTTACCATAAGCATGTGCAAAAGGCAGGGTTTACTGTAAGCACATGGTATTGCCTGTTGGGGCCAGATTACAACTTATCTGTTTTATGGGTCAATCTTTAACTCAACTATCAGAGGTGGGTTAGGTTGTTAAGGGGAGGGGGACCAGATGCATTTTTTTCATTCTGGGAACTAGGCCCATCAAATCTAAAATCCCTAAAACAAAGGCCAAGCTCAAAATGGAATCATACCAGCTTGGACCCCATCTCAGGATCCACTTCATCTCTTCATAGAGGGAAACTGAAGTTTAATTATTAAAGAAAATTCTCAAAGGTAGAGACTCAGAGTAAATCAGGAAGTTGAACAAGTTAAGTGCTGTAAATTACATTGAAACTCAGAAAGAGCTGGAAAACGTGGAAGGTGGTTTCATTTTGGGTTTGGTAAGTAAGAAACTTAGAGTATGTTCTGGTAAATGTCAGCTAAACCCTTATCAGGAATGAAACAAAAGGGGACCTGAAATGTGGTTTTTGCTTCCATGACTTATTGGTTTACTTATTGAGACTGTAATTGCTATTTTGCTAACTGCTAGTTCTGTTTCTGTAAACCTGCTTGCTACATCACATACACCACCGCCTGCCTACCTGCGTGTGGCTTTAAAACCCAGCCATAAGAGTTTGGCTGCTGTTCTTCACTGTCCCAATATAGTGGGGAGCAGTTTCCAAGGCTAATAAAGATTCTTAGCCCAATTGACTGAGTTTTAGTGACTCCTTTCACTGATCATGGGTTTGAATCCCACCGGCCCCAGGAAACTACGATACTTCATGACTACAAGCCAAAGGAAAAAAAGTTTTATAAAGGCCTTGGGAACCAAAAAATGTTTTTCTTTAAGGTTCAAATATGAGTGAAGCTGGCAATTAAGTTGGCTGTGATTTTTTTGTCATACCTTATGTCTATCGATAAGTTAAATGTTGTACATCTAATCATAGCTGGTAAAATAAGGTTAAGGTTTTGTTTCTGTTTTCTCTCCTGTGTTCTGATCAACTCCCTTTAAGATCAAAGGACCAGAACATTGTGGAATAATTGTGCAAGTGTGGGCACTGTGGCTCACAAAGTCCAGCCACTCCAAACACTTTTTCTACACTACTAGTGACCCAGGATGCAGCTTGCTCTTGTGCACAGGAAAATGTCCAGGGAGCAAAACAAAGTTGTCACCCTGCCTAAACCCATGGGCACCAGCCTGCAAAAGCCAGTGCATTCAGAGTAAACAAAATACTGGAAGATGTCTTTAACCATCTGTGTAGAAATTTGCAGGAAAGACAGCAGGAGGTGCAACAATCCATATATGCTGAGAGATGCTACTGCAGCCTAGCCCAGACTGCCTGGACCATCCTGACTACCTGTATTGGACCATACAGGGTTTATGCTCCACATGGAATTTTTCTGGCCTGTGGCCAGGATGTGTTCTTCGGTGTCTCATCATCTTGTTACCTTATCAGCCTTTTGCGGGACCTTTTCAAAAGTTTTTTTTTAACAGGATAACAATCCCACCCAGGACATCACCTGAGAACAAGTCAAGTCCATCCAGTTACTACTGGCAACCGGAGACTTCACTTACTCTGCCCTGCCTTGCTCAGGGCAGACCCAGACCCTAAAGACCCCAGCTCCAGTGACTCCTTGATGGCCCAAACCAGCAGGAAGTAACCAGAAGAGCCCATGACACCTGTTGGCTCTGGTACCTTTACACAACTCTGCTACCTCCTCCTCCTCCTAGGTTCCTGTGATCCTAAGATAAAGCTGGAAAAGTCTTAGTCCCCCCTCCAGGATAAAGGGAGTCAGGTACCATGCTATGTCTCCAGTCCAAGAGAGAAAAGGCAATCTCAGGTCTTTGATAGCCCCTTCTGGGAATCAGTCCCTCCCTGGCTTATTTCTCTCTTGGGTCTGCTAGTAGCAATTTTTACCTTTTACTGATTGTGCCTTGCATTTTAGATAACTATTCTCATAGGAAAGATGAGGACCTTTACTAACCAAACTATCAAAACAAATGTTTCTTGGATGGTACCTGGCCAAGCAACAAATCAGGGATCCCTGACTACTTCCTCCCCTTTACAGCAGGAAGTAGCTGCAGAAGAAACGACCTCTACCCATACTCCCAGCCTGGTACCCCTAGTTATTTTTATTATTAAACATCAAAACAGGGAATGTTAGCATTATCCCCACCTCTGATCCTCAGCTCCACCCAGACCTGAGCTCCTCCCTGCCCTAAAGTTCCCATATAGCTGGCTACACCCTCTCTCTACCCAAACCTACCTGCTCCCGGACCTCACCACTGTCCCAGAGTTACCCACCTGGATAGGGGCAGATGCCATATTGCTCCCTCTCCTGGGACATATGGCCCTTCTAATAAACCTATAATAATCTTTCTTCTGTGCCTGCCTGCCTCTGTGTGGTCCCCTGGGATGGTCATGATGTACCAAGAATGCGTATGCTTTTTGATCATGACACTATTAATACTAAGCAGTGAGCCATTCTGAAACCATCAATACTTTTAAGAAATATCATTTCAATCTAAGCACAGTGGTACACAGGAGACTCTGGGAGTCCAGTAACTCAGGAAGCAGACACAAGAGGATCACTAGCCCAAGAGTTTAATTATCTCAAAAAGAGAGAGAGAGAGAGAGAGATAAACATGCTAGGTATTGGTGGCTCATGCCACCAATCCTAAATACTCAAGAGGCTGAGAACTGAAGATTACAGTTGAATACAGCCTGGGAAGGTTATATTCTTATCTCCAAACTACAAAAAAAACTGCAAGTTGAGCTGTGTAGAGTAGTAGAGTACTAGCCTTAAGCAAAAAGAGCTCAAGGACAGTGACCAGGCCCCAAGACCACCAAAAAATAGACAAAAGAAAGAAAGAAGGAAGGAAGGCGTAAACATTATTCCACTAGGCCTTCTTTAATTTGAAAAGAATCAATAAAGCCCTATACATTTGGTCCTGCAACCTGCCAAAATAGAAAATAATACTAAAAATACTGGCAAAAAGCTGGGCACCAATGACTCCTATCTGTAATCCTAGCTATTCAGGAGGCAGAGATCTGAGGACTTCGGTCTGGCTCAAAGCCAGCCCAGGCAGGAAAATCTATGAGACTCTTATCTCCAATGAATTCCAAAAATAAGCTGGAGGTGGAAAACAAAAACAAAGAAAAGAAAAGAAAAAAGCTCAAAGATAGCACCCAAGTCCTGAGTTCAAGCCCCAGGACCAGCACACACACACACACACACACACACACACACACACACACAGACACAGACACACACACACACACACACACACACACCACACACACACACACACACACACACCACACACACACACACACACACACACACAAATGGCTAATACCTTACTAGAAAAAACTGATTCATTACTACAAAGTTCTAGTGCTAAGAGTTTCCAAGACAAGACTCATATGAGTAAAATAAAGATTTACCTTTAACTTAAGAGATTCTCCAAGTAATGTTCCTTTGTAATCTGTTGTATAGGTCCAATCATATGGTTTTACAACCTCTTTGGAGTGTTCACCCTCCGTCCTCAAACACAAAGTGGGAAGGATCATGTTTAGTGATGCAAAATATAGATGACCAATGTTCATATATCACAGATAACATGAAATGTCTTAATATACATATATACTTGTTAAAATTCACTAGTATAGGAAGTGGCGCTGTGGCTCAAGTGGTAGAGTGCTCGCTCGCCTTGAGCTGAAGAGCTGAGGGACAGCGCCCAAGCCCAGAGTTCAAGCCTCATGGCTGACAAAAAAAAAAAAAAAGTTCAGTAGTATAAGATCTTCCAATTTGTTATCACAAACATTAATGTTTTTTTTTAATTTTTATTTTTTATTGTGGAAATACTGTACAGAGTGGTTACAATTACATGGGCAAGATAATGAGTACATTTCTTATCAAGCATTATAGCCTCCTCCTTTGTTTCCCCTTCCCATCCCTTCCCATCCTCCCTCCGCCCCCCCATCTTTACTTATGTGTTGATGTAGTCTTTCAGGTAGTCAGCACACTGCTTGAGAACATGTCAAGAAGGCTTATATGGGCTGGGAAGGTGGCTCAGTGGTACAGCGCTTGCTTTGCATGCATAAGGCCCTGGGTTCAATTCCTCAGCACCACATAAGCAGAAAAATCTAGAAGTGGTACTGTGGCTCAAGTGGTAGAGCAGCAGCCCTGAGCTAAAGAGCTGAGGGACAGTGCCCTGGCCCACAGTTCAGGCCCCATGACCAACAAAAAAAAGAAAAAAAAGAAAGGCTTATATCCTCCAATGCTCCTACTTCATGAAAGGCCTAAAATAATAGCTGATTTGATTACCAAATATATTTTTGTAACTTTAATAACCCAAAAATGTAAATCACATGTAGATGTAAATCACTTGTGATGTAAATCACAAGTAGACTTTTTTCTTTAGGAATATGAAAGTAATGTTGACTAAGGAACCTTGACTAAAAACACTGATGGTTTAAAAAGTAAATCTTACTTATCTCAACTTACTTATCTCAACTCAATTGTATTTCAATTTAACTCAACACGTATTCAAGTGATGAGGTTAATTAACTTTAATATTATGGCTAAAAAAATTAACTCTAGAATAACCAACCATAAAGTTTAATAATAACACAAGCCCTTCACTATAATAACACATTCACATATCATTTTGCTGAGTCTTTCAATCCTTTTCTTTTTGGTTTAACCATAACACCCTAGATTCTCACCTGCTTTCCTGCCACTCTTCTGCACAGGCTACTTTAAGCATCCCTTGGTAATTATTTACACATCTTAATGCATCTGTAGCATTGAACTCAATCCCAAAGCCAGAGCCGTGCTGGATTCTTAAAACGTTGTCTCCAAACATCATTTCAGGGAGAGATGGCATATGTAATTCATCAGCTAACCTACACATAACCAAAAGTCAATTAAAATTATATCACATATTTTTTTCTTTTTTTTGGTGCCGGTCCTAGGGCTTGAACTCAGGGGCCTGGGTGCTGTCTTTGAGCTTTTTTCTCAAGGCTAGCCCTCTACACTTGAACCACAACTGCAATTCCTCACTGTTGGCATTTGTTTCATTTTCATCCTAATTATTCCTACATAATAGATGAATTAAATAACATATGGACTAAATAAATATATTCACTAAACTCTAGAGCACCTTCATCATCCATTCTTTCAGCATCAAATCTTGACAGTACTAGAGTAGGTCACTTAAATGAAACAGATGTCATGCCAGCTCATGAGAAGTGACATATAAAAAAAACAAGATAGATAACACATGTGATAGACAATATTTTAGGAAGAATGACCAAGGATCACTTAAGTGAGAGTGAAACTACTTTGTGAGCTAAAAAAGACCTTTAGACTTAAAGGCACTTTAACTCAAAATTTCAGAGTTGCAAGGAGTGTGTATGCTTAAAGCTGTTCCAGAATGCAAAGCACTTTTGCCTCTCTTCATTTGGTTTGTGAGCTATTACTACAGCTTAGGAAAAAATCAAAAAGCATACTTCTTAAGATTGGAAAATGAATGAAAGAACATGAAAGTTAATAATCCATTCATTTGACCAAAGAGGCTATAAGGATCTTTTTTTCTCCTTAATTCTCCAACATATAAGTACAACATGTGTAAAATAACTCTAAGTTCTAACAAATGCTGAAGACAGTGCAAGATTTAAGCAGAAGTGCTCTAGCACAGCTACTTTAACATACAAGACTTCTCATTTTTAGCAGCTTTACCTATAATTACAAGATAAGGCAAAAAAACACCATATTAAAGAAAATATTATTAGGCCAGGCACCAGTGACTCACACCTGTGTGAGTACACCTGTACTCAAGAAGACTGAAATCTAAGGATAGTAGTTTGAAGGCAGCCCAGGCAGAAAAGTCCTCATGAGACTTATCTCCAATAAACTACTCAAAAAAAGCCAGAAAGTGGCACTGTGACTCAAGTGGTAGAGCATGAAGCTTTAGGACAACACCCAGGCTCTGAGTTCAAGCCCCAGGACTAGCAAAAAAGAAAAAAAAAAAGTAAGAAAAATTATCCTTAATGTCCAATATAAAGAAATAAATGGTTATGCAAAGTAGATCATATCCATGTAATGAAATACTATGAACTATTAGGGGTATTTTAAGAATAATGTGGGAAAAGATTTATGACAAAAAATTAAGGAAAAATGGATACATATTGTGTATTTGTTGTTCGTGTATATATATATATATGTATTCATACATCAGTGGACCTAAAAGTTCTGAATTGAACATCTTTAGGATGATTAATAATGGCAAACTTTCATTATATACTTGAATAAAATTTATTGTCTTTAAGAGACAGAAAATATTATCTAAACAACATAGATAGATATAGATAGATTCCATAGGGATCCTTATAGGTTTTAACTACTGAATAATATATACCAAATATAAACAGTAAATATGATTCTGTAGCTTTATCCAGTTTATCTAGAAAAATCTGATAGTCCTACAAAATATTCCAATTATATATGTAAAAAGATAAGTTATTATCTACATTATTTCAAATGTTCTAAATTTAGAATATCTTAAACACAAAACCAAATACCCCATTTCTAATGTTAAGCTTCCCTTTTAACAAACTGGAATAACCAGTTATAGTATAGAAAGAGAAAATACTCCTAAGACCTTAGGATACCTTAAGTATTATTAAGTGACATCTCCTTAATCTTTTACCTAATCTCTCTGTTTAGTACCATAGAGTTTTTTCACTTAGATGCTTTTAGAGAGAAGCATCACAGAAAAATTTAGGATGTAAGGGTATGCCTTCCTTTCAGTACATGAAAAAGGACTAAGTATATACTCAAATAAAAATAACAGGGAAACTGTAGATCGTGCACTTGTTTCCCTTATAACATTCTACCATACAACATCTCTTAAGACTTCATAAATAAATTATGAATATCCCAATTTCAGACTAATTTTTATATCATAATATGGTACAATATGTAACAAAGTTATACGAAGAGGAAAAATTCACGTCTGTGGTTGTGATAAAGGAAAATCTTTTTTCTGTATTTTTCTAATCTTTTGAATAAGTCTCCAAAATGTTATAATTTATTTTTCTATATAATTACAAAGCTAAACATTTTTTATAACTCTCATCTCTTCCCTGGCCATTCACCTCCTGAGCCTCATCTTTGTTTTGCATTGTTTTTGAGACGGGGGTCTCTCAAAATGGCCTTCACCTAACTGTATAGCACAAGCTGGCCTCAAGGTCTCAGTCTTCCTACCTCAACCTCCAAGTACTGGGCTTACTGGCCACCACTCCCAGCTCTCTGCATGAATCTTAAAATACAAATGTTCCATATGATTGGTCCAACTCATGACCTTTTTCTTGTGGATAACTTATAGATGATCTTAATTCACTTCCAAGAGTCCAAGTACCAACTCTAAGCTGATGATTCCTGAACTAAGCCCACAGATATCATCTTTTTTGGGTTTACAAGGTGATAAATCTATCAAGTTCCTGCTGAATGTCTCTAATGTTATGGCCCCCACAAACCTCACACTTCAACAAACTAACTCATCTTCTGACACTTGGTCTTCTTCCTGTGCTCCCGTTGAGTACAAACAGCCCTGGCCAAAAAAATCTTATCAGAATTTTTTTTTTCCTTTCTCCCCATATCAACTAGCTACCAACCCAAGGACTTAATCTAAAGCCTCTTTTATCCTTTCTATTGGCATTCCTAGCACTGTAGCCCGGAACACCATCCATCTTGTGCATCATCTCAAAAGAAATCTTTCAGAACATCAATAATGTAGTGTCTCTGGATCAAATTACAACTAGTGGTTGTCCTTTAGTTTGGCATAAAAATTCCCCCAGAAGCTCAATTCCCTGGAACTCCTTTTGGGAGTTCTTATTTCACTCTTCAACCACAAGGGAGCAGTTCTTTAAGCATATCAGCTCTCACTCTCCTCTTACCACCCCCAAACTTTCTCAAGATTCCATTCGGGCATCCCAAACACCTCAAAGCTTACTCTCCCTACTCGCTGGCTTTACGCCTCCACCCGTGCTAAAGACTTTATCTTGATTCAGCTCAGACATACCAACTTCCTAGTTTCTGATCCCTCTTAAAACATCTGAGAGAGAGAAAGAGAGAGACAGAGACAGAGACACTCAGAGACAGAGACTGAGAGACAGAGAATCCTAGACAGTTATTCTCCGTGTAACTTAATTGCCTGTCTGTCTTACGAAACTAGGAATCCTTCAGGTGTAGTATGTCTTTCATGTTCTTTATAATCTCAAATGCCCTGTACAGACCTGACATACTAAAACCTAAGTATATATTATTATGCCATTAGTTCCTAAGGTCACTAAGTACTCGGAAGATGGCGCGGGCTGGAATAGGTCGAGCAGGGAGCTGAAAGACCACCAGAACAGCCAAGCTCAACTCAAACCCAGGGCTGGTGACAGTTTCACTCCGGCAGTGCCCCCGCGATCCAAATCAAAAGCGGGGACAGGACCATTCACCCAAGTTGTCAATCAGCGGTCGGGACCGAGAGGGCCAAGCCTCCACCCCGAGGAAGCAGGAGAGGCAGCCCGGCCTCCGGGGCGGCCCCGGCCCGGCTTCCCGCCCGGCCGCCCGCCCGGCTGCTCCCGCCACGCCTCCCGCTCCGGCCCAGCGGCCCGGTCCGCTCCCGGGCCCCAGAGCCTCACTTCTCCACATCTGCCGACTTCATGATATGAGTCTTGGCCGCCGTCAGTTTCCAGGGGCCGAAGGAGAAGTCCTGGTGGCTGCTCTGGAAGCCGTGGATCATCATGGCCTAAGAAGAGCCCGAGGGGAGCACAGCAAACAGGCGGCAGCGGCAGGGGCGGCCTTCACCGGCTTCTCCGCCTCCCTGAGGCCCAACCCCCGAGGCGACCGAGCCGTTACCATACCGCGCCCCGCCCCCTGCCCGCTGACCCGGACGCCGGCCTCCTTGCCGTCTTCTTGTCCGCCCTCTCGCTGTTTTTGCTTCCGAGGTCAGGTATTTGTATTGCGTGACCCACGTCTTACGACTCTACGTACAGAAGAGGAGAAAGGAAGAAAACGCCGAAGGGCGGAGCTTCTCCCGAAGGGGGTGTGATCGGGGGCGGGCCGTCCTGGGAGCTGAGTGACGTCATCCCTGAGGCGCTCAGGGAGTAGGCCTGAAACACTCCTCGTCTTCCTATCGCTTTCCTAACACACCACCCAACGCGGTGAAACTCAGTGGAATGTCAGTGAATGGTGGTAGGGGGAAACGGCCTCTTTTCTGTTTAAGCCAAAAAACAGTAATCCCTTACCGTTTAGGAAATCCTGCACCGACGTGATTTTAAAATGATCTTCTAAGGCGGGCACCGGAGGCTCACACCTGAACTCCTAACTACGCAGGAAGCTGAGATCTGAGGACCAAGTTTTAAAGCAAGCTCTGGCAGGAAAGACCGTGACATTCTCCAAGTAACCACCTAAAAGCTGTATGTGGAACTGTAGCTTAAGTGGTAGAACGCAGTCTTGAGCAAAACAAAAAGCAAAAATAGCACCTGGGCCTTGAATCAAGGACCAGTAGGAAAGAAAAGAAAGAGGGAGGGATGGAGGGAGGGAGGGAGGGAGGAAGGAAGGGGAGAGGGGAAAGGGGAGGAAAGAAGGGAGGGAGGGAAGATAAACAGAAGAAACCCTCTGCTATTGATGCCTATCACCAATTTCATCCCTGGTGCTAGGTTCCAGCCCCAGCACTGAGATTTTTTTTTTTTTTTGAAAAGAAAAGAAAGAAGGAGGGAGGAGGGGGAATGAATCCTTGAAGATTGGTCTGCTGGACACCAGAATAATGAAAACAACACTGGAAACCTGGTGCTGAATCTGCTTAAAAGAGATGGTTTGATGGTAGGGGATTTCTCCTGCCTAACAGATTCCACCCATTACTTAACCATCTCACCTGCACTCAGCTCTATCTCCAACAGTGACAAGCTTTTAAAAACAGAGATTCTCCAAATTCTGTGCCTGGAATAATATGCCTTCCAAAATTGCATCCTCACAAGGCTTTCCACAAACACTAGGGTTCAATTTAATTACTTCCTCCTGTAATCAACATGCTGATTTTGGTCAATTTCTTTTATTCCAGTGAAATTTATTCCAAATGAATGCCAAAAACTGCCTTCAACCTGGCACCACTAGCTGGGAGCTGGTGGCTCATGTCTCTAATTCTAGCTACTCAGGAGGCTGAGATCTGAGGATTGCAGTTTCATGCCAGCCTGGGCAGGAAAGTTTTACCTCCAATTAAATCACAGAAAAAGCCAGGTGTGGCACTGTGGCTCAAGTGGTAGAGTGCTAGCCTTGAGCAAAACAAGCTCAGGGACAGCACCCAGGCCCCAGAGTTCAAGCCTCACAACCTGAAAAAAAAAAAAAAAATGTAAAAATCCTGGTACCACTGGCTCATGTCTGTAATCATAGCTACTCAGAAGACTGAAATGCAAAGGATGAATGTTCAAAGCCAACTTGTAATAACCAGCAGGGCTGAAGCCTGCCCTGCACTGACATCATCACCCTGCAGCCTGCCCACTGGGCAGGGCATCAGGTTGATGTCACTGCCCCACAGGGCAGGTTGTCAAGAGGTGTGAATAAGTGGTTGGACAGGGGGTGATTTGGGGGAGGGAGTGGCAGTTGAAATCCTTAAGAGTATTTGGAGTGGGGGAGGGGCTCAGCCTATGTATAGGCTGCACTTTCTGAGGAGTTGGGGTTGAGGAGAGGAGGGAGAGAGAGAGAGAGTAGAAAAAGACAGCAAGAGGCGCCTCCCAGAGGGGGACAGGCCTGCAGAGAGGCCTGCAAAGAGACCTGTGGAGAGGCCTGCAGAGAAGGAAGGAAGGAAGGGAGGGAGGGAGAGAGGGAGGGAGGGAGGGAGAGAGGGAGGGAGGGAGGGAGGAGGGAGGGAGGAAGGGAGGGAAGAAAGGAAGGAAGGAAGGAAGGAAGGGCCTTCCCCATTGGAGGTTTGGAGCTTTGGAGGTCTGGGGTTTGGAGGTTTGCAGACCAACTAACAAAGGTCCAGGGCTGCCCATTGGAGGCTTGGAGGTTTGGTAGCTGAGTCTGCTCTTGCTTCTGGGTAGCTAGCCCAGGACAAGTTAGTCGCAGCTTCCTTCTCTGGTGTAAATAGTGTTAATAAATCGTTTTGTTACCTTTAACAGCGCCTCAATAGACTGTCTCAGCCTTTGGAGGTCATAATAGTAGGGGGGGGGGCCGGGGGGGGAGGGGGGGACAACTAAGAGACTTTTCTTCAGTTATCTAGCAAAAGGCAGGACTAAAGGCATGACACCACTGTGGGAAGCCTGCCCTGAATTCAAACCCTAGTTCCACAAGAAATTAAAAAAAAAATCTTGAACACTCATTCCATTACAAAATAACATACCTTTTCCTTTTTTATTTTTTTTTTATTTTTTGGTCGTGGGGCTTGAACTCTGGGCCTGGGCACTGTCCCTCAGCTCTCTAGCTAAAGGTGAGCACTCTACCACTTCAGCCATAGCACCACTTCCAGTTTTCTGGGGTTAATTACAGATAAGACTCTCACACACTTTCCTGCCCAGGCTGACTTTAAACTGTGATCCTTAGATCACAGTCTCCTGTGTAGCTAGGATTACAACTGTGAGCCACTGATGCCTGGCCACCTTTTCTTTTTTTTTTTTTTTTTTTTAAATTTTATTTTATTTTATTTGAGAACATACTGTACAGAGGGGTTACAATTACATGGGCAGGATAATGCATACATTTCTTACCAAGCATTGCAGCCTCCTCCTTTGTTTACCCTTCACCTCCCTTCCCACCCTCCCCCCTCCCTCCCAACCAGTCATACCCCCCTCCCCCCCCCCCACCGACATTGTAAAGCTGGTTTTGACATGACATTTTGTACTTCTCATTGTTGCAACAGGTCCACCTGAATCCTTAAACGACTTGTTTGTCCCCGTCTCCTCCACATGTTATACTGACATCAAATATAGTGAAAGCGGGGGTTACACTGTGGGGGAGGGACATACAAAGCAACAAAGAAATAATCTTATAAATGCGTTAGAAACACATGCATGAAAGAAACAAAAACATTAAAATACATATTTGAGGTTTTGTTTTCCTAACATCACATTATCTGACTTTTCTGGCCACCTTTTCTTTTAACAGAAATTAATAACAGAGTTCCAAGACATGCTTTCAGTGATATAAAACTCCTTCTTCCTGGAGCTGGGAAGGCGGCTCAGTGGTAGAGTGCTTGCCTTGCATGCATGAGGCCCTGGATTCGATTCCTCAGCCCCACATAAGCAGAAAAAGCCAGAAATGGCACTATGGCTCAAGTGGTAGAGTGCTAGCCTTGAGCTGAAGAGCTGAGGGACAGCGCCCAGGTCCAGAGATTAGGCCCCATGACTGACAACAAACAAACAAAAAACCTTGCTCTTTCCTCTTTAAAATGTATATTTTTCCACCTGTCCAATTTCATCTAAAATGCTAACTGCTTCTATAGAAGGTAGCATGCTGCTGCTTTGCTTAGTCATTTCCTTCTTTTTTTTTTTTTTTTTTTTTGGGGGGGTGGTCCAGTCGTGAGGCCTGAACTCTGGGCCTGGGCCCTGTCCCTCAACTCTTCAGCTCAAGGCTAGCGCTCTACCTCTTGAGCCACAGCGCCACTTCCAGCTTTTTTCTTTTTGTTTATGTGGTGCTGAGGAATCAAACCCAGGGCCTAAGGCATGCAAGGCAAGCGCTCTACCACTGAGCCACCTTTTCAGCCCCAGTCATTTATTTCTTAGTCTAAGTCATTTGACTATATAATTTTCTACGAGCTTGCCTTGATAAACAAGTGCCAGGCCACCCTACCCATGACTACCCAGGACCCAGTGATTTTCTAACCTATCCTCACAAAATATTTATCCCAGGTGGAAGGCACAACTCAAGTGGTAAAGCACTTCCCTGAGAAGTGTAAGTAAGTCCCAGAGTTCAAATCTCAGTACCACCAAAAGAAAAAAAGTTGTTTTAATTTCCTAAAATGTTCAAGAACCCTGGCAACATTCGTGCTCTCAAAAAAGGGTGAGTAAAGGTTGGGAACATGGCTTTGTGGTAGAGTGCTTGCCTAAGATGCATGAAGCATTGGGTTTGATTCCTTAGCACCACATAAACGGAAAAGGCCAGAAGTGGCAATGTGGCTCAAATGGTAGAGTGCTAGTCTTGAGCAAAAAGAAGCTCAGGGACAGTGCCCAGGCCTTGAGTTCAAGCCCAAGGACTGGCAAAAAAGAAGGAGGGTGAGTAAGACAAACATTAGGGTACTAAAAGTGCAGTCAAACTTAAAAACATACTTAATATTGTTAAAAACAGTTAATATTTGTAATATTAAACATATGCATATTTATAGTACATGTATATAATGTATATCATGGAATGGTAGCATACAAGAATATAAAACATATGTAAATAGCCCTAATTTGAAATCATTTCTAAGTAAATGTGATTTATAAGTAATTATAAATATGGTATCATTATGCCTCTAACTAATATTAAGCAATGATGTAACTATCCATTTTGCAGAGAATTGATGTTGTTTTACTATAAATGAGCCTTCATTTCAAGACTTTTGAAAATATAAACACATAAAAGACAAGATTTCATGACTAAAAGTTGAAACCAGTCTCATTAATTTCTCTTCAGAAATATAGTTTCCAACTTGTCCTCTATGTACTATTATAATAAAACTTCTAAAAAAAAGCCTGGGAGAATATGCTAGATAATTACTTTTACAAATTATATATTTAATGTCTTTTTATAGCAATAGCCCTTAGTAAAGGACAGACTTTATATGTGAAGTATTGACCCCCACGCTATTGTCCCAGGTGCATACTGATGCCAGGCAAAATCCCAGGTATGAGTGCACT